GTACATAGACCTATTGTCAGTCTAACTACTTAAGAATTCCAGATTGGGGTTGGCAAGATAGCTCAGTGGGTAAAGGTGCCTACCATAAAGCCAGATGGCCTGAGTTTGATCCCCAGGACTGACACAGTAGAAGGAGAGAACCAATTCCCTAAAATTGTCCTCTGACCTCCACCTGTGCACCATGGCACATGCGCACCCCACACCCATATCCACATAAAAATAAAAGAAATAAAAATAAAAAAGAATTCCAGAAGGAAGCCAGGTGTGGTGATCACACCTGTAATCTCAGCACTGGGGAAGCAGAGAAGGTTGATTGCCCCAAGTTCAAGTTTAGCCTGGTCTACATAGTAAGTTCCAGGCCAGCCAGACTGCCCACCAAGATCCTGTCTCAAAAAGGTAAAAAACAGGGGCTGGAGAGATGGCTCAGCAGTTAAGAACACTGGTTGTTTTTGCAGAAGACCCAGGTTTGAATCCCAGCAACCACATGGTACCTAACAACTGTCTGTAACTCCAGTTCCAGGGGATCTGATGGTCTCTTCTGTCCTGTGGGCATTGCATGACATGCATGTACTTACATACATGCGGGCGTAACACTCATGCACATAAAATAAAAATAATAAGTCTGGGCGTAGTGGTACATGCCTTTAATCCCAGCACTTGGGAGGCAGAACTCTGTGAGTTCAAGGCTAGCCTGGTCTACATAGTGAGTTCCAGGACAGCTGGGGCTACAGCTGGTCTCAAAAAAAAAAGACCAAAGGAAAAAAAAACAAAAAACTAGAAATGAGTAAAAGAAAAAATTATATGCTGAGGTGTCTGACAAGAATAATCTCTTGCTATCCTTTTATATAATTACATTTTTCTCTAGGGGTGTATGTTTTGATTTCATATTTTTTTTTTTTTGGTGTTTTTGAGACAAGGTCTCCCTGTAGCCCCAGCTGTCCTGGAACTCACTATGTAGACCAGGCTGGTCTTGAACTCACAGAGATCCACCTGCCTCTGCCTCCCGAGTGCTGGGGTTAAAGGCATGTGCCACCATGCCCGGCATATTTTTTTATTTTGAAACAAGATTCACAGTGTAACCCAGGTTGGCCTTGAACTCAAGGCAATCCTCCTGCCTCAGCCTCGATTGCTGGGATTGTAGGTGTGAGCCATGGCACCTGGCTTGCTAGTGGGAATGTACACCAGTGCAGCTGCTATGGAAAGCAGTCAGTAGGTCTGGTGTGTACCCAAGAGAACTGTAAACAGATGTCACCCCAAAATATCAATATTCCCAGCAGCTCTGTTGCTAGTCAGAAGTGGAGACAAGCCAGATGTCCATCAGTTGATAAATGGACACACAGATTATGGTCTGTCTATACAATGGGCTATTATTCCCCCATAAAAAGGAATAAAGTTCTGACACATGTTGCAATATGGACTAGTGTTGGAAACATGATCTGAGGGAGAGAAGCTGGTCTCACAAGGCCACTTGTTGTATGATCCCATTTGCATGAAATATCCACAGCAGGCATCTTAAGAGACAGAAAGTAGATTAGGGACTGAAGAGATGGCTCAGTGGTTAAGAGCACTGACTGCTCTTGCAGAGGACCTGAGTCTGATTCCCAGCACCCACACGGCAGCTACGAACTGTCCTTAACTCCAGTTCCAGGGGAATCCGAAGCTCTCTTCTGACCTCTGCGGCATTGCGTGACACAGGTGCATTCACATACATGCAGGCAATACACTCATACACATAAAATAAAAATAATAAAATATTTTTTAAAAAAGAAAGTAGATTAATGGGTTGCCAAAGGTTGGGGGAAGGACAAGTGTGGGGTTTCAAAGTGCTGTTTTCTTTTTCCAAACCATATTTTATTTTGTGTGAGTACACACACCATGGCATTTGTGTAGGAGTCAGAGGACAACTTGCTGGAGTCTGTTCTCTTTCTTCACCATGTAGGTACCAGGGGTAGAATTTAGGTCTTCAAGCTGTAGCAAATATCCTTAGCTACTTAGCCATCTCACAGGCCCTGGAGTTTTCTTTTGGGGTGCTGAAAAAACCCCCAAATTAGACAGTGATGTTTGCACCATGTGAGCTGAGCAAACTGGATGATTTAAGGATAGATTTTATAAAATGTGTCTTTTACCACAATTGAGAAACATCTTATCACTAAACACAACATAATGCCCCTGGTTTGAACGCTGGACCAGAAAAGACATAAGTGGGAAAATTAATAAAGCACAAAAAAGCTTGACATTTCAGTGACAGGCATGTCTGTGCTGGTCCTGCTTGTGACACATGAACCTGTCCTGGGAGGCGTTTGTGTAAGGGACAGTCAGGGCTACATAGAAGCTCTTTGTACTATCGTTACAACTTTTCTGTAATCCTAAATTTATTCCAAAATATAACATTGATTTTAAAATTCACAGCTGCCTCCTAAAGAGGAGCTATCTAGGTCTCTAGAAAGCTCTTTTGTTGGCAAAGGCCTCACTTCTAGGCTTGGCTTTATAAATCAGGGTGTTAGAGCTGACCTTCTGGCATAGGACAGGAGAAGAGTCAGGGGCCCAGGGCCAGTAAGGGGAAGGATGAGAAGAGATGCTGGCTGGAGAGCATCAGAGGTGCCTGGGCAGCAGGTGTTAACTCCCTGGTTTGGAAGCTCTAGGGACTTGGGGGGCAGGAGCGCCCAGCCCTGAGGCTGCAGCTGAGGACTCCCTACAGAAGTGCTTCCTGCCTTCCATACATGGGAAGGCAGTTTAAGCCAACTGGAAAGCGCATTGGACCAGCAGTCCCAAACAGCTACCATGAGTTCGACTGGGCCTCCTGCCTCTCTGCGTCCTGGCAGAACCTAAGCAGACTTTTCCTGGTTCTGTGGGTTTACCTTATGCTTTCTTTTTTATTTTTATTTATTTATTTAGTCTTTCTGAGACAGGGTTTCCCTGTAGTCCCAGCTGGCCTGGAATTCACTATGTAGACCAGGCTGGTCTTGAACTCTTAGGGATCCATCTGCCTGCCTCTGCCTCCCAGTGCTGGGATTAGAGGCATGCACCACCATGCCCTTACTCTTTCTAAAGCCCTTCTCCCCACCCTGCAGCTGCCTGCTGCCACATGGCTGGCTCTGTCGAGTTGGCTTTTCTCCTCCATTCTCTCTATCTCAGGGCAGCTCCCAAATTTATAGCTTGCCTGCCTTGGAGTTTTTCTCTTAAACTCTAATAAATTTTCCTCAAGCTTCAAAAAAGATGGATGGATGGATGGTTTTTAGGAAGGAAGGAAGGAAGGAAGGAAGGAAGGAAGGAAGGAAGGAAGGAAGGAAGGAAGGAAGGGAAGCTAACCTTAGAATACAATTGGTATTTCCAACTCCTGGAAACATCTGAAGACCCACTAACTGAACTACAGTCCCCTCTGCTCTCCAAATCAAAGCAGAAGTTCTGAAATTAACACAATCCAGGCTGCAGATTCCCCTCTGGGGTGGGCTGAGTAGAAGCCCTCATGCTAAGGCCCAGGAACCTGTGAAAGGACTCCAGTTGAAAAAAGGGTGTTGGTAAACATAAGTCAGAGCTCTCAAGGTGAGATCACCCTGGATTATCCAGGCAACCTCAGTCCAGTGTCAAAGTTCTGAAGAAAGCGTCTGGAGACCCTGACACACAGAGGAACATGGAGGTAGGGTGATGATGAGACAGAGGCTAGAGTGACATAGCTGCCAGCTAAGGAACACAGGAGCCACCAGAAGCTGCAAGAGGCAGGGAGGATCCTAATCTGCAAACTTCAGAGGGCACAGGGATCCATGACACCGTGCTTTTAGACTTCTGGTCTTCCAAGCCACAAGAGAGTACATTTGTTTATCTCAAGCCACCAAGTTTGGGCTCACTTGTTACAGCAAGAGGAGGAAATAAATAGACTGTGCCCAAGAGTCCCCACCTAGGAAGAAGCACAGAGGCGGGAAGTTCTTGCAATGGACTGCCTTTTACAGACAAGGAACTGAGGCCCAAAAGGGAAAGTAAGTATAAGATGACACAGCAATCTGAGTTCTCTTCTGCGCTGAATTTTAGCTCACCTGTGTGTTTTGTTAGGCCTACACAACATTAAATATATTTGCTATAGAATAGTGTAGGAATAGCAGCAATCCAGATAGCACCCTATGATTTCCTTTTGTAAGAGACAGGGTCTCATTATGTAACCCTGGGTGGCCTGGAACACACTATGTGCACCACTATGTCCAGCTCCAACTTTTTAAAGATTTTAATTAAAAAAAAAATTTTTTTTGTCCTTTTTAGACTGGGTCTCCCTGTAGACTCAGCTGGCTTGGACCTTGATATGTAGACCAGGCTAGCCTTGAACTCACAAAGATCTGCCTGCCTCTGCCTCCCAAGTGCTGGAATTAAAGCACCACACCTGGCAATATTTTATTTATTTTTATGTGTATGAGTGTATTGCCTGAATGTATGTAAGTATACTCATGTGATGCAATGTCTGCAGAGGTCAGAAGAGGGTGTCAGATGCCCTGGAACTGGAGTTATGAACGGTTGGTAGCCACCATGTGGGTGCTGGGAATCGAATCCAGGTCCTCTAGTCAGTGCTCTTAACAGCTGAACCATCTCTCCAGCCCCTAAAGATTTTTACTTTTATTTAAGTGTGTGTACGTGTGTGTATGCCTCATGTGTGCAGTGCCCATGGAGCCCAGAAGATGATGTTGGATCCCCTGAAACTGGAGTTACAGATGAGTTGTTAGCTGCCATGTGGTGCTGGGATCAAACACAGGTCTTCTGCAAGAACAGCCAGTGCTCTTAACTGCTGAGCCATCTCTCCAGCCCTGGTTTTTATTTTTATTTTTCATTTTTATTTTTTGTTCTCCTTAAAACTTTTACTTTGATACATCAGGGAAAAAACTTATAGGTTCACATGGAAAAAATAGACATGATCACAGGGAAGCTAACCTAATCAGCAAATATTGATGCCGCCTATCAGCTAATGTTGAAGCTGAAGTTCTGGGAGTTTGACATGCTACAGGGCTGAAAGGAACAGATTAGTATTCTTCTTCTTCCTCACCTTCTCCTTCAACAGAATCCATGCCAACCTCCTCATAATCCTTCTCCAGGGCAGCCATGTCCTCACAGGCCTCAGAGAACTCCCCTTCCTCCATGCCCTCACCCACATACCAGTGCACAAAGACACACTTGGTATACATCAGATCAAACTTGTGGTTGAGACGGGCCCAGGCCTCAGCAATGGCTGTGGTGTTGCTCAGCATGCACACAGCTCGCTGTACCTTGGCCAGGTCCCCACCAGGTACCACAGTGGGAGGCTGGTAATTGATG